GCCTCCAACAGTCTGAGAACAGAAGAATGAAATGATGCCCAGCTATCAATATCGACTATTTCAATTGGGATCACAACAGAAGGTCCTGGAGAGAAAAAGAGAAAAACATGCAAACTGGTCTGATACAAACTGGTGGAACCTCTGAGACTATGGCTCATAGATATCCTTCAAAACTGGAACTGAGCCCAGTTCCTTTCAAACAAGCAATAGACAGTCCTATATAATAAACTATAAAGTGAACAATAACACCCATAAGGAACGGGGTCCTCAGAACAATCAACCATATGAGAACAAAAGGGCAGTACTTGCCCTGCAATAAGGTTGAGAAGGTGAGAAGGAGAGGAAAGATGGGCAAATGGAAATAGGGAACCCAGGGAGGAAGTGGAAAAAATGCTATTACATTGAGAGGATTGTAACCAGTGACACAAAATAAAATGTGTATAAACTGTTGAATGGGAAATTTGCTCTGCAAATTTTCACAGTAAAGTGTTAAGAAAATTATTAATCCTCCCTTAATTCATATGCTCTACTGATCAGAGTGACACAACCGACAATTTACAGAAACTTTTTTTAAAAAGTTAAATGATTGCTCTTACCTAGCTTTAAATATTGGTACAAATCTTACTGCATGAGCTTCCTCACTGTTTTAGTCATACTAGTGGAATTCTTACACATACATAAACAAGGGGTTCTGTTTTTAATATAGTGGTATTTAGATTCTCATAAATAATGTAAATAGATTTTATTGTTTAGAAGTAACTCTGAAGATCCATAATAATTAGTTTGTGTACTAAGGTATAACTTAGATGAACACTGGTATGCAAGAGAGGTCCACTTGGGTGGTAAATCTATCCAACCCCTCAGCATGAGCATTTCAAAATGACCTTACTGTTTTCTATTCATAGCTAGTTTTATACATGACACACACATATATATATATATATATAGTCCTGGTGTGGTGCTGTGGGTTAATGCACCAGACTGCAAAGCTGTTTTAATTGCAAGGTTGGTGGTTCAAGCTCACCAGCTGTTCCTTGGAAACCCTATACAGAGTTGCTATGGGTCAGAATTGACTTGATGGTACTTGACAACAACAACATATATATACATATATGTATTTAACCCATTTTATTATTTAGCCCATTTTAACCCATTTTATATGTATATATATGTTGTTGTTATGTGCTGTGGAGTCAGTTCTGACTCATAGTGACCCTGTACAGGGTTTCCAAGGCTGTAAATCTTTACGGGAGTAGAAAGGCTCATCTTTCTCCCACAGAACAGCTGGTAGTTTC